TACATGATTCAGCGATTATTTCGAAACGGTGTCCTGGGGGATGGATATCTGCGTGAGGGTCTGATTCCTCCTTGTTTTCTGCATTTTGACGTTAGGTCACTGTCGCAGAACTCGTCATAGCTCCTCCTATTTGACACCCTACAAGAACCACAAGTAGTAAAGTTAATTCGAATAATTGTAATGTATAATATCTCACCTTTGATTAATTTAATATGTGTTCATTCTTCCTCTTTCTTATAACTATAGCAATGATATCCAGAAACATCTAGAAATAATATCCGAACAATTGTGCGTGTGAGCAAATGGAAATTACACGATTGGCAATAATCTATGAAACGAAAATTCATCATCATCATCATACCACTAATGTTTTGTTCTTCTTCATTATTATCCTCTCGCAGCCCACGGATAGCTGAAAAGTTCTCCAAGTTGACTTGACAGTGACGTTGCATCCTTGCCTCTTCCTCCTCAATACCGTCGATGCATAAGTCCTCATCGCTATCTGAAGAGTAACATGAAGCGCATTCATACACTTCTGTAGGGTCTGTCTTCGGTATTCGTGCTCGTCTGATCATGTCGTACCGTGCTTCTCTTCTTCTTCTCAATTCCAATCTTCTTTCTAGTGCAACTTTGTGAGATATCCATGAATCATCCTCACTATCCGTGTCACAACATTGTTGCATCCCAGAAGGCCCTGGCTGCGGTGAATGTGAGCGAGAATTAACAAGAGGTGTCGCGTATCTTTTCCGTTTTATTGGTCCTGCGAACAGTGTATCCTCAGCAAGGCGTTTTTGGTGTTGAACGATGACCTGATCATCTTCGTTATCATCTGAAGATGACGAGTCTTCGAGACCGTGTTGTTCCTTGATTCCTAAGTAGAGAGCATGTAAGGATTGTATGGTATCCGTCAGGAGATGGAGAAATAAACAAAACACAATACTTACGTTTGGAATGCTCAAAAAATAATGATAAACACTGGGCATCTCGTTTGTGGGAAAACTGAAGAGCACACGTGACCACCCGCAAAATTGTTCTATCTGCTGTCAAAAGACCCTGGTGATAAGCTTGAGATAGCACGCGACATGGTGTATGACAAACTATCCGCTCTAATATCCTGTTCAATGTTGCACGAGATAAACAATCCCAAAATTTCTTTCGTTGATCAAAAAAGAATTCCTGATATGGCGGCACTCTGTCGCAAATGAACTCAATCAGCTGTGTTAAGAAATACAGATACCGCCTATTTTTTCGATAATCTTCGTGCTCCATTGTGCCCGTTTCGTATGATGCTCTCTTTCAGACGTAAAAACTACGAGTGACGAATTCAAACGAATATTCGCAGAAATATAAGGCTTCAGGAGAGTTGCAATAGCATATCAGTTTTCTAAATATGTCCTTCGGATCAAACACAAAACAGCAACTTTTAGCACACGTGGTGCATGGATCAGCAATTGAAAACCGTCGAAAATCACAATCGGTGATTCACGGATAGAGTTACACGCTTGTGCCTTCTTATGATTCATCAGCTGTCAGTTTTGTAAATTTCTCTTAGGACAAAGACAAACCATCAAAACTGCAAATTTTATAACACGTGATGCGTCGATCAGCAACTCGGAGACGACAAAAAAAAAGTCATGATAGAGTTACACTCACGTGTCTTTTGTGATGACTCAACGCCAACACCCGTAAAATTTTAAGGAATCAATCTGGTTGAAGCAGCCACTACTATTGGCTGATCTCCTAATTACAACTACATGATTGGTAGAACCGTTGGGGAGGGGGTAATAAGTGTGAATAGTATATACTTGAGGAATTCCCAAGAATTATCAGTAC